CCCATTTGGTGAAAAAGTCGGTGAGCACCAGCAAAAATCTTTTAGTGCGACAAGGAGGAAAGGGTCCGACGATGTCCATGGCCCATCGCATGAAGGGGTAGGGTGCTGTCACGGGAGAAAGCGCTTCGGGAGGTACGTGTTTCAAAGTGGCGTGCCTTTGACAAGCTTCGCACTTTTGGGCGAATGCCTCGCAGTCGGCGAGCATAGTTGGCCAACGCGCGTCCACCCGAATGGTTCCCGCCGTCTCCTTCGTGGACCTCGCCCATAATCCTTTTGCTTTCGTCTCGATCGACGCTGGTAAGGAAGGTTCCGTTAGAACTTCGCCGGAGAAGTTCTCCATTGGTCAGAATGTAATTGGCACATCGGGCTTTTAGTCGTCGAGCCTGCCACCGGTCTGCGGGAACCTGACCGCTTTGTATGTAGAGTTTGATCTCTTCCCGCCAGTCGACCGGGGGGGCTTCTTCCTCATGGGGCTCGTTCTCAACCAGGTCGATCTCCATTTGGACCAAGTCGTTCATGATGAGGTTGATCTCATGAGGTTGAGCGATGCTTGGCAGATCGATACTTTCGATGGGGATGGATCGGCGGAGGTCTGGATTTGCGTTTGAAGCTAAGGCGGCGAGGGCGTCGGCCGAAGTGTTGTCGCTGCGTGGAATTTTTGTGAGAGAGAAGCTTTCGAATTCGGCTGAGGCGGATCGGACTAACGCCAGATAAGAGCTCATCCGCTCGTTCTTGGTGTCGAATTCTCCGCTGAATTGGCTTACGACCAGTTGTGAATCGCAAAATGTCTGGATATGTTTTATTCCGATTCCCCTAGCAAGTCGTATTCCTGCGAGCAAAGCTTCGTACTCGGCCTCGTTATTGGATGCTTTGAAACCGAGTTTCAACGATTGTTCCAGGACCTCGCCTGTCGGTGAACGCAAGAGGATTCCTACTCCGGATCCTTGATTGCAAGAAGATCTGTCGACATAGAGGGTCCAGCTTTCGACTTTTGGCGCGTCCTCCACGAGTTCTGGGGCGAGCTCGACCATAAAGTCCGCTAAAACCTGTGCTTTCAGACTGGGACGGGAGCGGTACTCATTATCGTATTCGCTTAGTTCGATGGCCCATTTAGCCATTCTTCCTGACTGCATGGGGCTGTGTAGCACTGTCCGAAGTGGTTGATCGGTATAGATGATGATTGCGTGCGATTGGAAATACGGACGCAACTTCCGGGCGGCGACGATGACGGCCAAGGCGAACTTCTCTAATGTTGGGTAGCGTGTTTCGGCATCGTTCAAGGATTTGCTGACGTAGAGAACAGGCCTCTGATCGCCGCGATCGTCTCGGACTAAGACGACGCTTACCGCTGTGCTGGAGACCGAAACGTAGAGGTATAAGACCTCGCCGTTCTCGGGTTTTACTAGGATGGGGTGGCTGGTCAGATATGTCTTCAACTCTTGAAAAGCCGCTTCGCACCGCTCGTCCCAATGAAAATCTCGATTTCCTCGGAGTAGTTGGTAGAAAGGGAGGCACCTGTCTGTCGACCTTGCTATGAAGCGATTGAGAGCTGCGATCCGACCTGTCAAACGTTGGACTTCGCGTTTGTTAGTTGGGGAAGGGAGCTCCAAAACTGCCGTTATCTGCTTTGGGTTGGCCTCGATCCCGCGTTCGGTCACGATGTACCCCAGAAACTCCCCGGATGTTACCCCAAATGTGCACTTAGTTGGGTTTAATTTCATCCGGTATTTGTCGAGAAGGTCGAAACATTCCGCGAGGTGATGGACGTGATCTTCTGCCGTTAACGACTTTACCAGCATGTCGTCAATATACACCTCCATTGTCCGTCCCAGGAGATCGGCGAACATTCG